CACACACACACACACACACACACACACACACACACACACACACACACTAGAATAGAATAAAAATGTTAAAAAGCAAGAGTGCATAAACAAACTGTACTGGCCCTGTAACTGTCACTTTTAGAAATTTTAATTATTTTTTTTCCTATTTTTAATATTTTGGTGTTTTGTTTATTTGTTTACAGAGTTTTGCTCTGTAGCCCAGACTGGCCTAAGACTTACTACATAGCTCATACATGCTTGAAACTTGCAGCAATCCTCCTTCCTTAGTCTCCCAGGCTTGCTAGTTCACATCCCAGAAACTCTGTTTGTAGTCTTGTCAAAGCTCGGCTCACCCAGCATGCTCTGGGGGTGCTCTCTCCTCCATGCTGGTGTTACTCTGTGCTCAGCCACTCCACACAGCCTCCATGCCTCACGCCCTTCTGTTTGCCCTCCGCTCTGAGGACCCCTGCACCAAGCTCCATGCATGCTTCCACCCTTCATGCTGCATGCTCACTGCAGGACAGGCTGCTGCAGAACCCATGACCTTTCTACTAAACAAAGGTGCTGAAACAGCTGCCAAGGGAAGAGACTCTGAAACGAAGCCCTGTAAGGAGAAGAGAGCCGCTGAAGTAAAACCTACAGCTTCACCAACCCTGAATCATGTCAGAAACAAACTTCCTTGCTCTGGAAGGAGCAAAGCAAAGCTGGAGGCCGACCATGCAGCGATGGTGCCAACATCACTCCGGCCTTCCGGATTAATAGCGTAAGATGCTGGTTCTGGGGGCTCAGGACAGCCTCACCTGGTTAGGAAAGCAGGTTAGTCCCAGAGCGGCCGAGAAAAGCCGCTTCACCCACAGGAGTTGCTGAGAAGGGCAAGGGTAGGCTGGGTTTGGCGGGCTGGGTCTGGGCTGTGATGCTCATGTAGCTCAGCTGCTGAGTCCTGGAAACCCTCTAGAGTCTACTCCTTGTCCACCCCCCTCCTCCCCCGAGTTAAATGAATCGTAGAGCTAGCTTTTAGCTTTTCTCTCTCCCCTTTCCTTGTTCAACATATATTCACTTTTTTTTAAAAATACCAACCTGACTTTGGCACAGGATAAGCAGATAACTTGGATTCCTCACAATTTATCTTGTTCCCCCTCCCCCTACTGACCCTGAGCCCTTGCTGAGCCAAACTTTCTCTTATTCATTTATTTATTCATTTCTTTATATTGGAGGTTTGAAAAGCTCTTGGTTCACTCTGGTTTCTCCTCAGGTTGCACCTTTGCATTTCAAGATGTATTATTACAAATGTTACCATTTCCAGGCCAAATGCAGGCAGAATATCTTGGAAGGACACAATTTTGCTGACTAAATATTTTCAGAAAAAGAAAAAAAAAAAACATAAACAGAGAAGCTCCAAGAACGCATGCGAAGGTTGGGTCCTTAGAGTGCAAAGTGTGAGAATGTGTCACAGGCTGGAGCCCTTTGACCCCCTCCTCTTAAGGCTTGTTGATTTTGACGTCTGCCCTCTGTTAGCTGGTCAAAGACCTCCACAGTCTTCTCAGATCCGTGTCCTGCCTCTGCCCAGACACAGGTAAGGTGTCCAAGACAGCTGCTGTTTACTTTCTAAACTAAGCCTCTTCCACTGTAGCAAAAGCACAAGCCAGCATAGCAAAGACATGAACCCAGGGGTGCGGGGTGCTCCCACAGGCCCCCTGGCCCTGCAGTCATGGACATTTTGTTTTCACGAGATATCGAGGTTACATGAATAATACGCTGGCGATTAGGGGGACTTTTTACAAATGTTATTTTTGGTAGTTCCAGACACCGGTCCAGAGGACTGTGTAAGTTTTGAGCATTTAACTGCAGGAGCACAGGAGGCCCCTACAGTCAACACCTGAGCACCTTCCCCAGAGGAGTCAAGACTAGAATCTGTGTGTTGCAGGCCAGGGCTGCTAAGGTTTTTAACCTTCCTGATAATGTCATTCAAAGATATTTTATATTCTTTTCCTTTTCCTATTTATCTGATTTGACTCCACTCCACTTTGTGGTGTTGGCTGGGTTTTTGGGTTGAGTCAAATTTTCCATACAACCCCAAACGCCTTCCCTCTCCCTTTGAGAATGTTCCTTAACTCAAGAGAGCGGAGGAAGGGCGTGTGTTAACCTGCCTGGGAGGTGAGCCTGTGGCTTCTCCTTCACCTCCTTCTTGCTCCTCTTTTAATAAAGCTAATAACTAGAGCTTTCAGCTGAGATGATGGCAATGTTAAAAGTGGGCGTGAAGACACATGGAGCTTCTTAATCCTGCTTGGGCTCACTGGTGGCTCGCTTGCCTAACACCCTTTAATTGATGGAGCAGGCTGCTGTTTGGAGATGAACCCATACACGCCTGGATTTATGGGGCTCAGGGCCTGAGTCTGGACTTGTCAGCCAGCAGGGCCGAGGTAGGGTCCCCTTCCGGTGGGGCTGGAATGAAGCTGGTGCTGTGCAGTTCCTACAGGGAGGAAAACCAGTTTGCAAAGGGCAGTTGGGTCCTTGGAGCCTCGGCTCTCTGTGCTCTGACACGCCAGATGCAGAACCAATGTAATTATCTGGGTAAATGAAACCACAGATGGTTCCAAATGCTAAGGTCACTTTGAAAGAGTATTGACAGAGAGCCCATGCATTTCCCTTTCTGACATTAGTTTCCTGTTCCTTCCAACTGCAATTCCGCCAGATTCCTCTTTTTTTCCTAAAAGTGTGCTATCTACTGATTCTTTCCTGAAGCCTTTTGGGGGCCTATGATTGGTGAGCTTGCTGCTTGCCTCTGAAAGAATGTGACCCCCCCCCTTAACACAGCCTGAAACTGGGAGCCCCAGACATGTTAACTTTTAGAAGAGAGGAGTGAGGGGAAGAAAAGGACGAGAGAAAAAAGGAGGAAAGGGAACTGACATCTGATGAGGAGTACCTTGAACTGCCATTCTGTCCTGAGCTGTGGGAGCCTCACCTTAGTGCCCCTGGAATACCAGCTCATGCTCAGTCTAGAGTGAGCAGACAAAGCTCCATGTTTTCAGGCCTCTCCCAGACGGCACTCTCCGGGTTAGACTCCTTCTGGAGAAAAAAAAGAATATTAAACCACAGCAATTATAAGCAAAACAAGTCCTTACAGCACCTTTTATAAATGCCTAATGGCCTTAACAGTTTATGAAGGCAATGCATCACAGTATGAGAAAGAGGCAAGGCCTGAGTTCCGCTGAGGAGTTTTTACTATTAGCTGTGCAGGTTACTTAACGTCTTTATCCTTCTGTTCGCACACCGGCATGATGGGCCTGAAAGAGCAGGTTGTGAAAATTAGCACTCCGTGAGTGTAGACACTGTCATTATGAGCTCTCCAGGTGCAGAGCAGGCACCAGTTCCTAGAAGATAGAGCTGGAAGCAAGGCTGTCAAACCAAAGGCACTGTGGCTTCAGGAAATCCATACATGGGAAGGACAAAGATGGCACAGACTCTCCTCAGCCTCAGGCTCCTCCTCTCCCTTCTACTTCCTGCCTCACAGCCAATAAGATGACCTGTGGCTACAATGATGGATTTTGTTTACTGACTGCCCTAAATAAGCTTCTGTGTGTCATTGTACTTTGCCATATTCTTGTTACTATGACAGAATATCTGACAAGAATCACCTGAAGGGAGCAGCTGTTTACTTTGGATCTGGTCAAGAGTTTGGTGCCTCCTAGTGAGGAAGGCGGAGTGTCGGGAACATTGGGACAGCTGAGGTAAGGCTGCTTCTCAGATCCAGGAGGGTCAGGAGGCAGAGGACGGGAATCTGTGGTTCTGCCAGCCTTTCCTGACACTGCATCCCAGTCCCTTCTCCCTAACTCCTCCTCTATGGAAATGCCCTCACAGACACATCTGACAGTGCTCCCTGATAAAACCCTATGTTTCTTGATACAATTGTGTCAATGAAAACTGATCATCACTGTCTCTCTTACCAGAAGTCCACTCACCTACGTGCCCTTCTGCCTTTCTAGTGAGCACAGTTCTTTGTATAGTCGTGAATTTCTTCAGCTTCTCACCTATTCTCCAACCGCAATGCCACCATTCCCATCCCCTCTAGCATTGGAGTCCACTTCTCTGGGCAATCCTCTGTCTCAGTCCTGAAACAATCACCATCACCCAAGAGCCCATGTGACACTTTGGCTTCACAGTTTTCACTGTTCTTTCCTATCCAAATTCTTTACATCAGCTAATCTCTGTCACTTCTTGGTGGACTAAGGCTGGGAATAAGACTGAGTCTGTCAGTCCCTATGAACATGGCAGGAGGCCCCTGCCTCCATGAGAATGCACCATGAAGGGACGGTTCCTAATCAATACTCCTTAAGAGACTGGCCTGGGGGTTTTAAGGGAAGAGCTTTCCTGATGATCGTAAGGCAAACTGCCGTGTTACAGAGACAGCGGTGAGAAAAGGGGTGGGTGGCCCCCAGCACCTGAGGATGCCCCTGAAAGCCAGCAAGCCGAATCCGAGGGTCTCAGTCCTAAAAGGAACCAACAACTTGTGATGTCAGAAGAGGATCCAGAGCCTCAGTGAGGCCACACTTCCAGCTGACATCCATTCCAGATGTTAAGACTCTGAGCAGAAGACCCAGTTGAAGTGTGCCAAGCTCCTGACCTGTGAAAGCTGCCAAATAATAAACTGGGTTGGTTACTTTAAACTCAGTACATGGTGTGGCAATAGCAGTAAAAATTCACAGGGTCCTCGTCACAGCTGTCTGACTCTGGGAGGACTTTGTTCACTGGTTCCATCTTGTCATCTGTTATTCTGTCTTGGTCACGTTTTTTGGAGCTCCATGAGTCAGTCTGGGTAGGTTGCATGCAAGAGTCAAGTCTAGAACCAGAAAGAAAGAACCACAGGTACATTCTCCGAGACTCTTCAAATGGAAGAAGACGAAGCACCTCAAGACTCAGGTCACCACGGAGCCGGTACTGCCTTGACACCAGATGAAGATGGCGCAGAAGGAGGGCACCACAGCAGCTTCCCGTGGGCAGAGAAGCTGAGCTGCTCAGTAAATTGGTGGAGATCAAAATCCAGCAGCAGTCTCCACTCTGGTGCATATCTCCTGTGGGGGATCAAGTCTGAATGGAGGCTCTTGGAACAGAAAGGTGCTTCCCAGTGGTGATCAGGTCAACAGTAGACACCAATTTTGAAACAATGAAGGTCGCTCCTGCTCTCCTGGGACACTGGTTACTGTCTCTGAGGATGAGTTATCATGAAAAGATCAAGAGTGGCCGCCAAGTCTCCTCGCCTTCCTGCTCTGCCTTGGGTTAGCTCTACAGCGCAGCCTTTACTGTAATCGTCCGGCAGGAGGCAGGTGAGTCTGTGCCTTCAGCAGGGTATCTAAGGCAGCTGATGAGAAGAGAGGTTCACTCTAGATTGTGGATTTTAGTCCACCCTGTCGGGGACAGCAAAGCGGAGCAGAGAGCCTCACCCCGGCTGGCAAGGAAGCATAGAGAAGCTCCTGGCATGCCCTCCTCCGCCTGGTGCCCTAGCATGGCTCCTGGCCTGTGGGGTAGCGCGGCCTGCGTGGGTCTTGCTCACTTAGCTCATCCTCACTTGCTCACAGCCAGAGGTTAGCTTTACTCTCCGCCAAGGCCAGGCAAGTTGGCGACCCAAGTTTATTTCACAGTAAGCACACTTCTCTTCATAACGTACCCAGCCAGCCCTGGGCATGCTATCATTCCTCTGCCGCCGCCGCCAAAGACAAACTAATGCAATGCTACTGTTTCCAAACGTGTCTGCATTTACCCAGCGTGTACTTTCCCACTTTATTAAATCTGGATCTTGCTATGATTTTGTCTGTCTTCCTATATTTCTTCGAGGTCACGTAGGCTGAGGACATCGCCTTTCAACGTCTTTAGAAGTGTTTCTCAAGCGGAAGCACCGGCCAATTCTGTATGCTGTGTGGTATTTGTGTGTGTGTGCACATGTGTGTGGGCGTGCATGTGCCCCGGAAGTGTACACACAGACACCAGAGGAAGAAGCTGGAGTCTTCCTCCATCACTCCACACCTTATGTTTTTGGAACATAAGTGTCACCGAACCTGACCCTTGCGGTTTGGGCTGGGCCGCTGGCCAGGGGCCTGTAGGATCTCTGTCTTCTTATGCCCTAGCTGAGGCTGAGGCATGTGTGGTCATGGCTTTCACGTGGGTGTTGGGGACTTAAACTCAGATTCCCTTCCTCACACAGCAAATGGCTGCACCCTGGCCCAGCTCCCCAGCTCCCCAGCTCCCCATCACCCTGGATCTTTTACCTCTGGGATGCCTCCCACGTGTGCATTTTGCACAGGGAGAAACAGACACTCGCCTTTACTCCCCTCTCTACCAACCACCGTCTTTCCCTCCCCTGGCTGAACTGAACACCTCTATTCATCACTACTATCTTCTCAAACAAGTGGTAATCTGATATTATGTCCTGGTCTGGTTTTCTTTATGTTCATCTTACTTGAATTTGTTGAATGTTTCAGTTTGTAAGTTGATAATTCACAAAAAACTTGGAAGATGTTTGGCACTATTTATTTTTTCTGTCAATTTTTTTTCTCTTTCTCAGACTCCATCTCTACCTAAATACACAAAATTGCCCTGCATGCCCCAAAGAGGTTTTACTAAATTTTCATCAGTCACTTTTATTTTTCATGCTCAGCTTTAGACTTTGCTCTCAATAACTACCGTCTCACCATGAGATTTGTGTGCTTCCTTGGCCTGTGATAACAAACAACTAAAAATCAAGTGGCTTAAACAATGGAGTGTATTACCCAGCAGTTTTAGAGGTCAGAAATCCAAATGAGTAAGCCGCTAGGACTCTGAGACCCGCTTTGTGGCCTCTCCCAGCTTCTGCACTTTGCCGGGCCGCACCCAGCGTTTGTGTCTTCACCCGTGTGCCATGTGACATTATCCTGTCTTTCAGATTTCCCCTTCTCCTGAAACCACCAGCCGCATGGATTGTGATTCCACTCACGACCCTCGGGAGTATGCAATGCCTGTATTTCCAGTAAGGTCCCCTTCAGAGATGCCGGTGGCTGGCGCTACAACACTCAGCCCACACCAGCAGGGACTTAGTCAGTTTGGGCCACTATCATAAAGACCAAACGACTCAAGAGGAGCAGAAGTCTGTCCATGCCTGCGCTGTGGGCTGAGCTCTGCGATGGGATCGCAACCATGGATGGGTTCTAGCAGGGCCCTCCCCAGGCCTCTGGCCCGGGACCCCGTCACTCAGCTCTCACAGTGGACAGCCAGGATGATTGCTTTGGCGTCCCCTCTGTAAGGACACAAATTGCACTTGAAGGGTTTGTTCTCATTACCTTTCACCTTCCAAAATCCTTATTTCCTAAGGTGATCGGAGCAGCACTCAAGATTTCAGATACAAACATTCAGATTTTCATTCTTCCTGTCTTCCTCAAAGCTATATCCTTCTCACACCCAGGAAGCTTCCCCACCCCAGCAGCCCCGATTGTATGAACTTACTCCAGAATCAATTCTAAATCTCAAATCCAAAGTTTTGTCTACTTATTCAGATATGAGTGAGGCTGAACCAGGGGCAGAATTCGTCTTCAGCTGTGAATCCCTGGAACCAAACAAATTAAGCACTTCCCAAAGAACAAGGGAAGGATGGACATGGGACACACATTTCCATTCCAAAAGACAGAAAAGAAGGAAGAGGTGATGGGTTCTAAGAAGCTCCAAACCTATCAAGGCAAAGTGATGAGAACTTGAGATGCTTCAATTCTCAGAGAATCAAGCTTGGCGGAACAATGGCATCACTTTTGCTTTCCTGGTGGTATTTGGGCTGTAGTTCTCCATGCAATGGTTGCTTTCACAGAGGACTCCTGGTACCTTCCCTGCCCTTTGGAGCTGAGGAAGAAGCATCTCTGGCCCCTGAACCCACGTGCACTGAGCTGGGGTGGGAAAAACCCTGGCAAGCACTCGAGCCTTTCCAGTCCTGGCCGGTCCTGAAGATTTGCTTGTAGTTAAACCATGCTCCGGTTTGGTGGTTAAAGTCTGTTGCCCTTTTCTGTTTCCTGTAGTTGTAACTGGCAGTGTTTCTGCTGGTCTGATCTCATCTTTTTTTCTAGGCTTTTGTTGAGATGGTTGATAAAAATTCTTGGTTCCTATCTGTATTAATTTTCTTATCACACGGTCTCTTGGCCACGTCTGCAGTGTTCCTTTCCAAACATACTTGCTTTTTTCCCCCCTCCAAATAAGTGTTATTGACAGGTTGAGCTTTTCCCAGCTCCAAGCTCTGGTTGCTTTTTGCTTATCGATCTCAGCTTTAAAATCAGGTTTGTCTGAGCACATTCTGCCATAAGTAGTTAGAGGGAGCTGCGGTGGATTTCTGATGTTTGGCTCAGAAGAAACCCAGCTGCACCTCCAGGGCCTAGGAACCTCTTCGAAGAAATGCCATCACTGTGAGCCTTCCTTTCCATGGGACACAAAGGACATCGGAGATGTGTGGCTCTCCTGAAGCCAGCTGGATGCTCCTGGCATTCAGGGAGGTCAGTCTGCTCTGACTGGTCAGAACCTGAGCACACCCTGATGGTCTGCGAGCTCTGTGAGGGGCCCTGTCTGCCCTCCTCATTCTGCCATCTGGTCTTTCGTTTCTTTTGGAAGTGGTTTCTATCATCCTGCCCCCATACCAGGAACTGTCCGACAGAGTCTCGCTCAGCCCTCGGTGCTGTCCCCCCTTGCCTTCATCCCTGCTCTTTCTCCAGGGCCCTCTCTCTACTCTTTTTGAGGCTTTCAGCGCTCTTATTCCTGTAGGAATTTTGTTCTTTGCTTCCGCTGACTGTCAGCTCAGCCTACATGGAGCCAACCCTAGCCCCGCCATCTTACCTGAACATGGCCAGTGGCTTTTCCTTACCTGGCATCTTTGATATCAGACTCCACATTTGCAGAAAGGTGAGCATGGCACTAGTTGTTTTTTCCTGGACTCCTGGGTTTCAGTGGGATCTATATCATAGCATCTTGGGACAAAGATGTGTCTTACCAAGATTTCCTAAATCATCACTGTTTCTTGCCACATTCCATTGGCGTATCTTTAGTGTATTTGGGGAGAATTTTCTCTGTGGAATATAGAGATGACCAAGTTCCTACAGACCAAGTAATGAGCAGTCTGAAGCAGTGGGACACGACATAAATATCATGGGCTTTGCACATTGGAAATACAAAGCTTTCAGTGTCTTTACAAGGAAACTAAATGGCACTGATAATGAAATTTCCAACACCAGTAACTGTACCTGAGGGTGGGCAGGATGGCTCAGCTGGTGAAGACTCTGGCACCAGGGCTGAGAACTTGACTTCAATCCCTGGAACCCACACCAAGCAGACAACTCTTGAGAGCTGTCCTCTGACCACCATATGAGGGACACGGCGTGTTCACACCGCCTCCACCCAAACTAGAGAAAATAAAAGCCGGGTGATGTTGGGGTGATGCTGTGTGAGAACTATCCAGGGCTGGCTATTGCGCCAGCAGAGATCTGGCTACAGGCCAGTCTTTGCACGGCTCTTCCTAGGGCTGCATCCTCCTTTGTGAATACTCCCTCCATCACCTCTGATTGGTTGAATAAAGAGCAGATCAGCCAATAGCTGAGGCAAGAGAGGGAGGCGGGGCTTCCTACAGAGACTCTGGGGCGGTGTTCAGGCAGTAGTCTCCAGCCAGACACAGAGGAAGTAGCTGGAGCTGGGCCTAGAAAGTAAGATGGACAGGTAACTGGCCACAGGATGTAGACCAGGCTGGTACAGTCAGGTTAACATAGCCGAGAATCCCCGGTGACAAGCCGTAAGCTTATAATACATATGCGAGCTCTCTGTGCATTATTCCATCTGCTGGGAGTCTCAGAGAAACTGGTGTTTTGTTCGTCCAACAAGGAAAACATCTGCAGCAACCCCAGCTTGAGCCACCAACTTGTGACTTACGGTCACAAACTGTCCCTCCTGTCTCCTGCTCAGGGAGAGGAGAAACACATAAGGACTTACCAACCTGTATCACTGCAGCCCGTGACGATGCTCTGACTCTCTCCAGCCCTCCGAGAACAGAGCACCCCTCTGGCTAGGTGCTCTGGAGGGTGATGCCAGGGCTTCCCCCCACCATGCCTCCCGCGCTGCCGAGAGAGCCGGTAGGAAAGCCCGGCCAGCTGTCAGATGTATGTGGAACTACATCTGCTGAATTTAAAGAATAAATACAAGCTCATTGAGGCCTGCAGCGGTGCACGGGGAAGCAGCCTCGGCTAAAGCTGCAGATCTTCGACTTCACCAGCTGTGTTCAGACTGCAGAGCCACACCGATGTTTGGTTGTCTCGTGAACTACCCTCGGGACAGCTCAGAGTCAGCACTGGATAGTTTCTCCTAAGTCTCTTTCAGTTACTGTGATAAGTGGGTGAAGTCTTTTTTTTTTTTTTTTTAATAACTTTTTCTTTTCTGGCTCCCAGACTCTAATCCAGGGCGCTCTGCACACACAAAAATACAGGGCTGGGGTTGTGTCTCCGTTGGCAAAGTGCTGCCCGCCATCCACGAAGCCCCACATTCTAGTCCCAGCACGGCCTAACGCAGGCCTTGGGGCACACACCTGCAGCGCCAGCACTTGGGGGCAGAAGCATGAGGGTCAGCAGATCATCCTGGGCCACACAGCACGGTGAAAGCCAGCTGGAGACACGTGAGACATTGGCTCAGAAACATGAATTGAAGTTAAAACTCTGTGTGCATGAAGTGGGATGTCGGCTCCGAGCTGCCTTTGTCTCTGATGCTTCACAGCTGCTCTGCCACTTGTGTGTGCCCCCCCCCAGGCAAGCTCCATTTTCAAGGTGGCGCGAACAGTTATGAAGCTTGGCGTGCCCAGCTTGTGCCACCCCTGGCAGTCCTCCACACTGTGTGTAGCACGGGCTGTTCTGCTTTCTCTCCCTCTGTGAACTGTGCATCACATCTGCCCTTTGCTCTCCTGATGTTTAGCTGATGCTGGAGAGTTAAACTCATGAAGATCAATAGGACAAATGATTTATTTCATAAGCATACAGAAGTATTCAGAGGAGACGCAGAGCAAGGGCTCAGAGCCACGGAAGTGAGTATGCCACCTTAACAGAGATGCCCCCTGGCACCGAAAGGGAAGTGGGTGGGTTTCTAGGGACATTAAACTGCAGAGGGTAACTGTGTGAGGGCTGTGGAGAGTTGAGCCCCTTGTCAAAGCTCAAGCCAGTGTCATCTTTAGCAAGTCAGCCCTCTCTGGTGTGGAAAGCAGACTCCATAACAAAAATCTGTGCTTTTTGGGGCTTGAAAGTGGGAGGCTCAGAGCTTCACCCGAATCTGTTGTTTCCCCAGTTGACCAGCTCAGAATAACCCTGTGCCAAGGTGATATTTGGGTTGGCACGGTCTGACCCCCTTGCCTGGGATCTGTTCTTCTCCTTATCCACAAAGATCAATGGGAAATGGTATGGCAAGCTGCTCACCAGGAAGGGCAAAGGAGTACTGCCCACAGTGACATGCTTTATTAAGGCACATATGAGGCTTTACTGTGATTTTAACAGGCTGCGTGCTCCTTACCGAGACAGTCTTTCTTCATGCTACCCGTATAATTTTGGCATGCTAATTAAGTTGTGTTTGAATTCACAGTGTGAACGTGCGAATGGGAATGTAAACTAGTGCTGTTATCAGTGACTAGCCTGCATTTCATGGTGAAATTATGCAGAGTACCCTGGGTTGGTATTGACCAGCAGCTACTAAACTGTAAAGGTCTTCTAGGGAATTAGCCAGAGCAGGGCTCCTTGGGGAGAAAGGAAGGAAAATGTTGAGACACTGAATCAACAATGTGAAGAAAGAGTCGTCAAGAGCACAACAGAGTGCCTGTCACCTCTGCCCTTAGAGAGCAGGCCAGAGTCAACATTTATAGTTTTAATGATTACTTGTTTGAAGTCTGAACTTCCAGGAATGATTCACCTCAAGCGTATTTAAATGTATTAACATTTTCCTTTGCTTCTGGCAATTTATTTTTGAAATGTCTTCCTTAAGATCCAGCTGGGAAGCTGGTAGGTCAGGGCACAGCCTGGTCAGAGCTGTACTATCAAAGGGAGGCATTGGAAATGGGCTCCTGTGCTGCGTGTGTCAACTCCCCGCCTATCACGATGCCTGCTCCTGGGCATGAATCCATCTCCACTAAAGAAAAACCTCCAAAATTTCTGAGTTCATGAAAGAGAGAAGGAAGTAAAAGGAATACAGCCTGGCCCATGTAGAGCCGGGATGGAGACAATTGGGCACAGCGTCAAAACGCTGGTTGACCAGCTGCTCTCAGGAAGTAGATCTACGTTCCTTCCCCACATTGTAGTCATAGTTGATTTTAGTTTCTCCTTGTTTTACTCTTCTCTGCTTCTAAGTATTCCAGGTTAAGCTTCCTTGACAGTAGGGAACATTAGTCGTTTAACCCTATGCTTTTGATTATATAAGTCAATTTTAAGGTTAATTCAGGTTAAAATATTAATAAGTATATGAACACGTACCCTTTAATTATGAAAATTTATGATGTTTAAAAGGTTAGCATTATGGCTGGAGAGGTGCTAGGGATGGATAGCACTCTTGTGGAGGAGCCAGGCTTGGGTCCCAGCAGCCACACGGTAGCTCACAACCGCTGGTGACTCCAGCTCCAGGGGATCCATTGCCTCTGGCCCCGAGGGGCAACTGCATTCACAGGCATCTGCCTCCCCTGCCAGACCCTTTACAAAAATAAAAATAAAATTAAGTCTTTAAAGGACAAGTATTATGGAAGAGTATGCAATATAAGGTATTTTTTTCCTTGCTTCCTTAGCTTTTCCCACCATGCCCTAGTCCCAAGCCCTCTTCAGTCCTTGCTTTGACTTGCTCCGGTCACCATCTTTCTAGTTTCTGCAGTATCAGCAGTGTTGTCCTAACAGATGAACGGTCTCATGCCGTCTCCCAGTCCTCCTCTCAGGCTCTCGTTTGTAGCCAGGCTACTGCGTTTGACAATATTTGCTGGTTAAGGGGGCGAGTGCACCCCTTCTGTGCCAGCTCACCAGTCTCTACCCAAACACCGACAGCCAGTTTCCAGACCACCAGCAGCCAGGCTTCTCTCGGCCCAAGAGGAGTTTCCAGC